CCAATACCTGAGCTTCCAGTATCAGGAAGCCAGGCTGCGTGTAATGACTTGTCGCCTAGCTTCCTGTTTGGTCGGGAAGCCGGCCAATGAGGAAGCCGGACGGCAAGTCATTACCCGCCCCCTGGCTTTGATTGGGCAGAAAGCCGGCTTCATGCTCCATTGTCACCTGGTGACTAAGGAGCAAGGAGCCGGCTTCACAGCAAATCAGGAAGCCGAGCTCCGTGTAATGACTCGTTGCCTGGCTTCCTGATTGGTCGACGCTGGCCAATCAGGAAGCCGGGCAACAAGTCATTACACAGCACCTGGCTTCCTGATTTACCAGAAAGTGGGCTCCATGCTGTCTCATTACTTGGTGATGAGGGAGCATGGAGACGGTTTCCAGACTAATTGGGAAGCCAGGTGGCGAGTTTTTACACACTGCCCGGCTTCATCAGGAAGCCAGGTGGACTCAGGCTGCCTTTCTAATGAGACTTCGGATATTGGTATTCGGTATCGGCGAGTACCGACAAAAAATATTGGTACTTGTACTTTATACCAAAAAAACGATATCGTTGCATCCCTAGTAAGTACAAAAATATTATTTCCTTTATCATCCATTGAGGGACACAGGAATTCTGAAACCGTTGGAATGTTGAAACAGTACAACTGAGGGGTGGGCAACAGCCACTGATGGATCAGAGATAGAGCAAGGATTAAGGCCTGGTTCACACCTGTACGTTTTGTAGCGCGTTCAACGCTCTACAAAATGCTCAAACATGAAAATCCCATTGTTTTCTATAGGTATTGTTCACACGGGATTTCCATAGATAAAGGGCTGCATGTGGTTGTCTGCTATTATACCCTGTAAAGCAAAGAGTATGGAGCATTGCACTTTCCAGTGTAGGTCAGTGTACCTAAACTGTTATGTTGGCAGACAGATTTTGGATCAGAGTTGCCCCGTTGGGAGCCAAATCCCCCCATTGGATAAAAAAATATTTTCAATCCTTTTACTGAAGAAGCTTTATGGTATGGCTCCCAGCCTCCTAGATGCAGCGAAGGCACAGGAAGCGGGGCAGCGGAGGCACGGGGACGGGGAAGCAGAGTAACAGGGCGGGACAGCGGAAGAACGGGTCGGGACAGAGAAGACACCTTGGCGGCAGCGAAGGTGGTGGGGTGGGCGGGCAGCAGGGGAATGCGATCACAGCAGTATCTCCTCCCCGCTGGTGCCAGCTGCAGTGATATGTGTCCCTACTGCCTCTGCCTATACAAGCGGGGAGAGCAGCGGGGATTGAAAGGGACAAAGATCTCTGCAGCCAGCACCAGCAGGCAGGAGAACGGAGGAGCGGCAACTAATCGATGATGAGAATCGTTGCCAAGCTTTAGGCTCTGTTCACACCTAGGCGTATCGAATATGCGCGTTTGTCGCGCGTTCCGTGACGCGCGTTTTTACCGCGAAACGCGCGTTTCCGAGGGCTACTTGGTTGTATCCCAATAGAAACGCCTGACAAAAATGATGCAAAGAAGCTCATGTACCTTTTCAGGCGTAGGCCGTTTTGTAGCTCGTTCAGACAGGCTGAAATGGCCTGGATGTAAACAAACAAGGGAGGAGTAGCAGTCATCAGTTTGATGCAAGTTTACCAGGGGAGAGAAGTTAAGGTTAGGTCCGGTCAGGGAAAAGGACTTGAAAGCACAAATGCAATTTATTTATTTTTTTCAAGTGCCTTTATCATTTTAGGTCAGACAGCCAGGCAACTAGTAATTTCATCAGGAGTTTTTCAATGGCAGAGCCTCCATTGTGGCAATGTCACTTTAACATTGGGATGATGCAGGATCTAAAACAGTGGCTCTTATCTCTAAATTCCAGATCACTACAATCAGAAGCTATGTCATTTTAGGAGACTTGAGTAAATTTTGACGATGTTGGAAGATGTTAAAGTCAGCCAAGTAAAAGAAAATGAGGAGATGACCACAGCATCAAAATAGTCAGATTTATGCATTTATATATAGTTATTATGCACTATTAACAATATATTATAAACCATCTTACAAAGTTTCAGGAAAATTGGATGGCAAGAACTGAACTGCTGAACAAGCAGAAAATCCTAAACTAATATCATGACTAATTCAATTTGACAACAGCCAACTCCCTTATTTGTCTAAATAATAAGAAGCTAGTTTAAACATTTTGTGTGAACAGATCTAAAACAAAAACAGTACAAATCATCAGGGGCACCACAAGCACCAGGCACACATTGCCCTCACTCCTGAGGAACCACCTGACAATTCAGTCAACACTGCAGTGCCCATGGCATTGGCATTGCAGGGCCGCTGCTTCTCCGTGTTTTACAGTGGCAGTTCAGAGCTTAGCTCCTCCTTGACTCCAGTAACATGACACAGCCAAGGGGAGGACTTCCACTACCTCTCAATTACTGCTGCATCAGGTAAGATCTGTACTGGGTGGTTCTCTGCTGTGAGGGAGGAGTCTGTACTAAGACTTTACTGTAATAGGGCTGTGGGGAGAAATCTATACTAGGAAAGTATGAGCTTAGGGGAGGGATATAATTTTGCTGAACTCTGTACACTGGCCTGTGTGACACATACTTCCGACCCATGCACTCTGCGCTATGCACTCCTGACCACTGCACTTTTTGCCATACACGCTCCTGATCCCTGCACTCTCCATGTTTCAAACTCTTGAGCCATTCACTCTGTGCTATACACACTGCTGAGCCCTGAAATTCCTGCACTGTGCACTCCTGATCTTTGTACTCTGTGTGTTACACACTCCAGGGCCCTACACAACAAACACTATCTTGTAAATGTCATACTCCTGACCACTTCGCTCGGTACTATATGCTGAACTTTATATGACAATCCTGACCACCGCACTTTCAATACATTACATAATCCTGAAGCTCTTTATTCTAGGGTGTGTACAAAAAGCATATGTAATAGAAGAGATCAATGTCTTTAAATTAGTATGCTGAGGTTTATGTGTGTCTGATCTCTCGCACACTAAAGCATATTCTGTAGGTAAAAGGACTGTGGCATATGTGTGCTGTGTATACAGTGAGGAGGTTCAGGTTTTTATTAAACCATGCCCCTTTAAGCCATGCACTATGCAAACTTCCTCATCCTTCTCTTCATCTGGGTGCCCACAGGTGCCCCTGCCTCAAGTCTTTCGCAATTCTAGCAACGCCCGTGAAACTCATACATGGATACGTGACAGGAGAACCTAAATGCAAGTGTCTACAGCTGCCAGCATAGCACATTATACATGCAATGCCTTGGAGCCAGCTCAGATATTGAAGCTATCCAAAATGTGTGGGATAAGGGGGGACAGTTTCAGACTCCCAAACTGGAGATTATTACTGCATATTGAGGTCCCAGAGTTTGTAGAAAGGTAGTTTGTAGGAAGACATTCTGGAAGCTGGCTCACTGTATGTGCAGTAACAACTGATTTAGCAGTTGATGTTTGCTTTGCGTCATCCAATTATATGCTATTATTTAGGGATGCACCGATACCGGTATTTTGGTACCGAGTACGAGTACCGATAATTTTTTTCCGGTACTCGCCGATACCAATTACCGAGTAACGGAAGTCCCATTCAGGAAGCCAGGTGGCATTAAATGACTCGCCACCTGGCTTCCTGATTAGCTGGGAAGTCGGGCAGCGTGTAAAGGGTCGCCACACGGCTTCCCGATTAACAAGAAAGTCCCCTCTTAAGAGCATGGAGCCGCTTCCCGGTCAATCGCGAAACCGGGCAGCCTGTAATGACGTGCTGCCTGGCTTCCTGATACCGGAAGTACTCGTGCTAGGCATCGGAGCATTTGGAGCATTTGGGCGAGTCCAAATACTCGGAATCGGCACCGATATCGATACTAGTATCGGTATCGGTGCATCCCTACTATTTTTGTAACAGACGTCTAACTTCTGCACTTTCACTGTACTGCCAGGTCGACACTGACATCTGTCTAGGGTGCAGAAGACAAAGTGTGTCCAGAGAAATCAACAGATCTGATATCAGATTAAATGTTGCATGTAACTGTATCCCAGCACAAGTTAAAGGTGCACATACGAATGAAAATGATGATTGCGACACACATTGGCTATCGTTGCACACGCCAGAGTGAGAGCAATTATTTTAGGGTGATGTTTCATGGACAACTTCAAATTGATGGCCTGTAACGTACGGACAATTTTGGGCACCAACATTTTTTTTACGTTTCATGGGCGCACAAAATTGTGAAGCTTGGCATATTTGGTATCTATTTACACATCCAGCCTAATTCTAGATTTATTTAAAAAAAAAAAAAAATTATATGGTGCTTGTGTACACTAAAAACTTGAATGTATTTTTGAATACATTTTTTGAATGTACATTCTGAAAATTAGGCTTGGTGTAACTGCCACCATTTTATTCTTCAGGGCCTCTACTTTCAGGAAATACATAATTTTAGAGGCTTAAACTTGCATTTAACATGTGTGCAAAAACTGCACTAGCAGTGAAAGAGTTAACACAAGAGTACTGCTGTCCTTTCATTTTCAATTACAGAAAATCAAAACAATTCACAGGAGGATTACTAAACAGTGAACACATTTGCTCAAATATCAATGTTAAGACAAGCTATGGTGGATCTGGCAAAATGATATCAGCCACCAGTATAAATAATCTGTTTGCAATGCGCAAAGTGTATACAAATATTACGGCATATCAGCTAACCATAATTTGCCTTTGCACTGATAGATTTGAAAATCCACCTGCAAATCAATTTTCATATATTGTAGCTGAAGTTTTACATAAATAAATTAGATAAGATAATAAAGCAAAAGCTGGTCTGCTGCCATCAAGCTAAAAGTCTATGTTGCTTTTCCCCCCAAACCTGGATGCAACTTTTTTTTTTGTATTCGTACTTTACGCCTTCAGGAAACACTATCACCACATTATTATATTCTGCTAAGGACAAACCGTCTTCCAAATTACAACACATGCGCTGTAGGTTTCCAACGAATGTCTTACCTGATAAAATTCTCGCAGCCAATTCTTCTGTAAATTTTCTGTCTGGAACAAACAAAAGAAAGAATGTTACTACATAGTGATCCTAGTAGAACTATGAGCATCCATCCCAGTAATATATATTCTAGCTCATGCGTAATTATAAAGCCGAACCACAAAATGCTTATCCATACTAGTTCTCAAAGTGAGCAAATCAGTACTATGTTATATAAAAATACCCTCCTCTAAGCCTCTAATCAGTAATACGATACACAGAAATACCCTCCTCTAAGCCCCTAATCAGTAATACGATACACAGAAATCCCCTCCTCTAAGCCCCTAAATCAGACTATGTTACATAAAAATACCCTCCTCTAAGCCCCTAATCACATTTGAGCGTGAGCGTTGTAGTACAATTTTAAGGTTTGAGTGATTTTGTTTTAGCCAATGGAAAGGTAGTTACTAGGAGGAGGAGAAGGAGGAGGAGGAGACTGTTAAACCACATGGAAAATGCATGTTATGTGGACATTTCAGGTGACTTCATTGAAGTCTATGGGATACTACCCAACAATAGCCGATGTATTTTTTCGATCGACACGCAACACAACACTCTGGAAATAATAGGCTTCTTTTTGTGAGCAATGTGGACCAATGTGACAAAACACACAAGTGTGAATGGGAGTGTTACAAGTGTTACTGAGAACACAAAGTTCTCAGTAATATGTGCATTACATTTATTACGCAATACAAAAGCAGAACAAAATAAGCATAAAACTTAAGAACTAAACTAAAACTAAACACTATACTACAAGTTTAAGCTCAACTTCTTTAAAAGTAAAATTTTCCTGTAGA